AAGGATTTCAGATACTATTAAGGATCAAAACTTGGTTTAGTTTTTCCCGCTACTAATGCATGAGCTTAACGCCATATGGCCAATGAGATCACCAATTTCTGGCATTGAATTTACAAAATTAGGACTTTCTAAAGATCGTTATTTTTACGTCCTAACATAACTTCCATTATCGGTTAAGGCTTGAACGGTAAGTTACTAGCTTTTTCTGTGTATCAAAGACTAGTTTTTTCATCAACTCTCAAAGCGAATTCTGACAAAAAGAGTTAGTGATTAGTAAAACGTGGACATTCTTGGTCCCACATCTACTCAAATGGGGCCTCGTCTACTCGTTACCTGCAGCACTAGTGTTTCACTATTTAAATCTGACCATCATAAAACTGAGCTGCTTTTTATCGAACCGCAGCTTCCATGGTAATCGTAAGAACATCAGATATGTTGTGTTATTGACACAAGGTTGCCAGGTTGTTATATATCTAGCTAAAAATTGCTGTTTGATCTTAATGTTTGTAGAAAAAATTGGCTTAAAGAGCGATAACATTTCTTGGAGAAAACTTTCGGAATATCCTAGCACTGATCTACAATAAATATTGGCCGGTCACATTTCATTGATAAAAGCGAATAAAATATAAGCATGCAACATTACAACAAGATAATTAGAAAAATTGGTAGCTACTGGGAACTATGCAAAAAGCAGCAAGTTAGAGGACCCATCGAGGAGCGTTAACTCTACTTCTCCAATGAACTGCAACTGATTACTATATTAGCAGCCTATCATTTCTTTTGCTTGAGAACCAACAAGATAATAAATAACAGCATATGTAAGAGAAATTTCTCTAATGTGACACGAGTCTAGGCTAACTGAACGGAATTTCTACTAACAAATTGCTAAATATCTTTAGAATTCTTCTACAAAAAGGTCATCACATTTTGCACAAAATTTTCTGGTGCAGATGTATGTAGCAACTGCACAAACAAGTTTTCGCAATAAGATCTATGATGTCTATTGCTGCAGATCTTCGGTGCAAAACATCATTCACCTCTCGTAGTCACTGATCCACATCAACCGTTCACACTAAAAATTGGTGCTGATCTTTTAGCCTTCGCGTCTCTCTCTCCAATTACAGCATGAGTCACCTCTCCCTGCGTTCTTTTTTATTTGAGTTGTGCAACATTTGCCAACATTGTGCCATTTAACCCCGCCCATTCGGTTCTCTCCCTGCAAGAGAACTAATAGATATAAAAGGGCTCTCCCGTTCCTTCTCCGCTCATCTCATCTGTAACCATGGCTGAGGAGAAGAAGACCGCTACTATTAAACTTTATCGCGACAATGTGCCCCGAATCACCATCACTTACAAGAACAAGAAGGATCTTTACAAGACTTTCCAGAAGAAGCTGAGGGAACTTAACCTTCCCATTGGTGATATTTATCACGCTGACTGGGACAATGATCGTACTGAAATCAAAAGTCCTGAAGACCTATTTGCTGCTGTCGTTGACAACACGAACGTGAAGATGTTCTATCGTCCCAGTGCTAAGAAGGAGATGTTCAAGTGTCCCAGCTGTGACGAAGAAGACGATGACGAGGATCAGGTTGAAGAGAATCGCGAAAGAAAAGATTTGAATGAGGTTCACGAGCACAGATCTCGCTCTCCATGTCGTGATCACCATCGACGTCATCGTTCTCCATCGGACTCGCCATATCCTGAACGCAGAGGTCATCGTTCAAAATCCGGCCCTCCATCTCATCGACGTCATCGTTCTCCATCTGACATGCCCTCCCCTGACCGTAGACGACATCGTTCAAGATCCGGCTCACCATCACATCATCGACGTCACCGTTCAAGATCCGGGTCTCCACATCATCGACGTCATCGTTCAAGATCCTGGTCTCCATCTCACCATCGACGCCACCGTTCGAGATCCTGGTCTCCATCCCCCGATCGCAGACGCGGTCGATCCCGATCTCGTGGACATGGTCGCCACCATCGCCACTATCCTATGCCACCATGCTTCCCTCCTTGGTACCCATGGATCCCTCCATGCCCTCCTCCTCACCGTCACCACTCTAGAGGAGGACATGGACATGGAAGAGATAGAAGCCGTGACTACAGCTGTGATCGCCTGTGCAATGAATTCAAAAATCTGTAAATACTTGACTATGTGTAAAATTTTTGTTGTAAGACTGTGGTTTATTAATGTTTGGTGGCTGTGACTAAATAAACATTCTGATATCGTTTCTGCGTTAATAATCATCAACAACAATGTCATGAACAGCAGAAAAGCATGCGGTACATGCTAGTCAAATGATAGTGCAATTGCACTTTTATCTGGATCAACGTGGTTCGGAAACTCACAGTTACCCATAGCTTGGAATCAGAACCAATAATCAAAAATTAATATTGGCTACTACAACACGTCTTTCCTTGAAGGAGTAGTCCCTAAAAATTTCTGGAAACCTACAGCAAAAACTTGTTCCTTTATAGAAAGAATATAAGTTTTATCGTAGAGTTAGTTGCAGAAAGCTTAGCTTGCTCTTTACAGATAGTGGTTGACATGCACTTTTATTCGGTACATGGTTACCATAGAGGGTGCTTGGTGCGAAAGTGCAATAGCGGGGATAGATTGTCTGGAGGGGTGGCGGCAAGGGGGCAGGAAGTCGCGGCAGCCGCGCCTGCCACCTTACGTAGACAAAGCAAATTTTATTTAGTTGCTCATGCCACAGTTTTTTGTTCATAAAAAGGCAAGAGGAAGATACTTGCGTAATTTTGTACCTGCTTGATTCAACAGAATGTAATGCCAAGAGTGGATTTTCACGGAACTTTTCTAGTTTCAAATTGTTTTTGGAAAAGCAATATATGGGCTTAAGTGTTGTCACACATAGTTTCGGATAAGACAATAGCCTTCTTCTTGCTTTCATTTTGGGGTTTTAAATTTCAAAATTTGCAATAAAACAGAGCAACGACATAGAAGTAATGCAGTTATCATTCCTAAGGGAATCTCTTTTTCAAAGCTTACGATCAACCCACACCTTTTGTCAGATTTACACAAGTTCCATTAAAAAATTAGCCATAAGACAAATTTGTTAGTAAATTACTAATGCCTCTACCAAATAACTTGTGAAATTCAAGTTTTCAGGGAAATGCTGCACTAATTTTTTTCTTTATTCCTAAGCGAGACTGAGGCCTAAGAATCCTCCACATACATTTCTTAATAAAATTATTAGACAAGGTAGAATAAGCGCGAACATTCAGAACGGCACAACTCGCTCAAGAATAGTACTTACCTGGAAAAGTCTTCCGACGGATTTACCATCTTAGCTTCAAGTTGTTATGATCAAAGTCCAAAACTCAAAATCCGAAAACATACAATATTTGCCTAAAAGGGAAGTCAAGATTCGATCA